AAAAAGTGGCGGAAACATGTTAACAAGTTCAAATTGTAAATTGTAGCATTGCGGCATTAAAATTGTTGTTGAATACTGAAATCAGAGAATTCAGTAATTAGTGTGCATTCCGTAGACTATTTAGCATATTATGCGATTGTTGATTCGTTTTTCATTTTTTTTTTCAACTGCCCTTCAATTGTAAAGTAAATAGTGCACATATTCAAGATCTCTCTTTACTTTCTGCTGCTATTTGTCGTGATTTGGCTGGCAAAAAAGTTTCATGAAGCCTTTCAAAAAGTACTAATATTCGCAGTAATCCTCGTAATCAAACAAAGGTCGCTGGTATATTTTATATTTGTCATTTTCAATGCCAAATAGTTGATAAATGTAGTGAAAGTTGTCGGCTTCCTTATCAGAAGCATAGCTGTCCCGACATTCTTTTGGCTCCACTGAAGTTGCCGATGACCATTGCATGTGTGCCAGTTCGAATTGTTCTGTGGGGCGTAGCTCGTGAGATGGCCAATATATCAGAAAAATGTGTGGATATGCCGAAAACATTGAGTTATCAAAGTTTAAAAGAATTAATATTTCGTGAGGTCAAGTTTTTTTCCTCGCTTATGAAGAGAGCAGTTCTCCACGAAGTTTTCTTGTGTTGTAATTCATTTTCACTAGACGTCTTGTAAATTATTCCTATTTTGCTAATTTTCATGGGTTCTTTTAATTCATCTCAAAGCATCCAAGCAGTGCGAGTATCAGTCGGATTGTTTCATCCACAGTTTAAACAGTTCCTACTTTTTTATCACACCAGTTTATTTTTCTCTTTTATATTATATACAATACTGTAGGCTATAATGCGGATATTATATTCAAGTACCATTTTGCAGATATTAGCTGAATTGTTGCCGCTAGAGAAGTGTTGTATCTTGGCCTTAAATTATGAACACATATGGGATCATGATACCGTGCTCAATATCAGAGCGAATTCTGAAATCGCCGTGATACCACCAGTGAGTGGTGGATAAGTATCATGATGATATAGAGCTATGTGGTATTGCTACCAGAAATTACAGTATATTTTTTGTGCAGGGGTTTCAAGAATCCTATTTTTTTGATTTTGTAAAGCTTTTAATATGAGATTATTGTGATTTATTTCGAAATATCGTCTTTTTTATACTAATATTAATAGCAGCGGTGACAGTTAGGAAGTTCAGAAGCATCTTTATTTTTAGTAAATAAATATAAACTGAATTTTGCAGAGAAGACAAAATATTTATGTTGGAAAATGTATAAATTCTATCACCAAAGTATGTAATCTGCTTAACAGATGTAATGCTCTCATTTCCTTGTTCTTTTCATAATATTAGTTTTTCTGAAGTGTCGCAGAAATAAAATTTTACTTTGATTTGTCTCGCAGTATTTCAGCAAAATGCAAGTTAAAAATGTTAAGTAAAGGAATGGAAAAAAGTTTACGGCTTACCAACAAGAGTGATCGAAATAGGTTGTCATGAACTACGTTCTGTAACAACTGTAGCTTTGTTTTAATCAAATACGTACATGAAAAACGATGCATAAATCCTTATGTTATGATCATAAGCTTAGGACCTAGAATTCTGTTTTTTAAATAATGGAAAATTCTAAGAATTGTAGTTGAACAAGAACTCTAGGTGACTTAAATAAATTACATGTACAGAATATGCAAGTAGCAACTGGTATGACTGGAGATTTTGGTTACATTTTCTGTATAGGGATTGTTAAGGGGAGAGACTGAAGAATGGTTTTCATTCTGTTGTTGAAATTGAAATCAATGAGTTCTCAAGAATTACTGGCACAATTTCAAAAGTTGTTCTCTTGTGGCCTGACCATCACTGCCTTCAGCCAGCGCGAGGATTGCATTCGCCTCTTCTGCTGTGATTCTGGAACCAACAGCGGATAACCAAGCATCTTGGAGAGTTTCCGTTGTTACCTTCAAGAACATGATCGATGTATATTGAATTCTCAATGTTTCTTGGCCCTCGATTATCTTCCAGACTATTTTTGTAGGATTTACTTCATATAAATATTTAATAGTTTTGGGAATACTGATAATTTTTATTGAATTGTGAGCATAGAATACATCCAAAAATTAGACTGATTCTTTACTAGGCTTTTGCAATTCAAATTTGTGTACTAAATGATTCTATAAATTTGAAACTTCTGTGAATTTCCTTTGACGTTAAGAAAGCTAAATTTGGTTGTATTAATTTCAGTTCGTTTTCCAATAGTCCTTGTATGGATTAAAAATTAATGCGGAATATTAACAAAAAGAGAAAAACCGTTGTAGCAGAAGACTAACTAACATATTCATGGGTGTTTTGGGCAAGTTTGCGCATCACTTCATCCATGCTACTTTTGTATTTTTTGAGCTAAAAAATTTTCATGATTGAGCATCCAAAATCAGAAATGATTTATACATGTGAACTGAACACTTCTTGAAATGTTCGACAAAACTGCCAATAGTATTGGAAGATCAAAAAGTGAACTTTGTCATTGAATATTGCTGATTGCGGATTGTTTTATGTTTTTAAGTCTTTTCGAGATCAAAAATTTATTGCATTTTTCAAATTTTTAGTTTATAAATCAAAGCAAGAATTGAAAGCAGTAAATTGTGAATTCCTTGAAACTGCTTGAAGGTTTCAAGCTTTTTTTCAAATTTATGAAGCCAACTAACTGTATGACAAGGATGAGTATGATAAGTGACTATTTAAAAACAATTGAATAAAGTAGTACCTTCGTTCTGGAAACGATAACTACTAGAAATTCTTCGAAATTAATTTCTCCGTTGCCATCTTTATCTGTAGTTCTCATTACTGCCTGCAAGCAATTTTCCAACTATTTGTGAAAAGATTCTGTAAAATTATTGCAGAATGAGAAAATTTCTATTTTAACTTAGCAGAATCTCAATTCAGAGTTCTGCAAATCAAAGAATCATGCTTGTAAAATTCTAATTACCTGTACAACTTTAGGTGAAACATCACATCCGAAGGAATTCAGTCCCTGAGCAATTTCAGCCGCCGTAATTACACCACTTCTATCATCATCGATCCGCATAAATACTCCATAAATCTATCAATAGAGCATTACTTTGAAAAATATCAGTATGCTGTTCTTGCAATCAAGAATAAATTATGGACTGAAGTTACATCTTTCTAGTAAACCTTGCGTTGTTTTTATAAAGAAAATGATTACTTTCCTATAGTTGCATAATCAGACCAATCTCATACTTCAATGTTCATTATTTTGTATCCTGCACACGCGTCAAAATGATCTAGCTTCTATCATGAAATTCACTGCTATAATCTGTCAAAGGTAATGTCAATTAACGATGGAACGAACTTAATTCAAGGACTAAAACAACTTTTTAACATGCAAATAAATCTATAATATTGCTCTGTGATTCTTCTCCGTTTCTTTGTGGAGGTGTCGAAAAATCAGTGGTACATTTTAAATTTAGAGCTGAATTAACTCAAAACTATCGAGCCATTTCAATTCTTAGAGTATCAGCAATGAACTAACATCTTCCACTTCCTGCTCAGTAATCGAAAACTGTTCTGCGAGATTAGCTAAGTTGATATCTTTCGCGTACTTTTTGAATTTCTTGGTCTTTTTTTTACTTCGATTTTTATCCAGGATTGCATCCCAAAATATCATATCCTTTTCCGCCATTTCCGTACAAAGTTCCAGAAAATCCTCAAATACTTTTGTAATTTTTGCCCTTTCACCAAATTTTTTATTTTTTATCGCACTTGATAGCACTGAAACTGTAAGTGCCGGCGAATAAATTTTTCACCAGTTCATTCATGTATAGATAAAAACTTTCATTGTCGAATAGTAATGATGCCAAATTTGCTGAATTTATACGTGAAATTAAAACTTTTTCATTTCATAAGCAAGACCACTAAAACGATCTTAAGAGGTAGTTAATTAAATTGGTCCTGCATATAAATATCATCAAGATGATGTCAATGGAATTTGACTAGAAAACCTCGTTAAGATATATACTTGTTTTTCAAATTCCAAATTATACTTCACTCATATTGAGATAGCATGATTGGGTAATTTGATAGATGGAATGTATGATTTGATTTCGAATAAAGCTATTTTGGAATTGATCGTGTCATTTGCAGATTATGAGAATAATTAGTTATTGATGCAAACAAAAAGCATCTAAAATAATTGTGGGATAAAAATATTGGTATTTGTTTACGAAAATTAGGATGAGGTAACAGTTCTAAAGGAATGAAAGCTTCCGTGAGCACACTGCTGATACTCAATTTTTGTGAAAATAAAATGACTTTTAAGCGAAAGTTCAGGTTTTCAAAGTCACTTCACAGAAATCATTTACTCAGGGAAGTTGTGATTTTGATAAATGCAAAAATAGTTTTAATTTTCTCAAAAGTCATAGGCTTTTTCGTGACAATAAAAAAGCAAGAGAAGAGTATCGTAGCGCAGATGTTGTTCAGACTTTGGAACTTTGAGATGAAAATCTTTTTGACTTGAGAAGTGAATATTCAACTCGTGCAAAAAAATAAATATTTACAATGTTCAAAAAGCTGTACTCGATTTCGATGGCTGGATTTTCAGCGATGAACTTTTGAATATTTTTGCGTAGCTATTTTGAAAGAACTAAAGGAAAGTCTTTTGAATAGTTGAATTTATTTGCGAACAAAATTTTATCAAAACTTCATTAAATTTAGTGACCATCAATCCATCATGTAAAAAGTGCCTATCTCAGGACTATTTGGCTGGTTAAAAATTATTATCATTTGGCAGTAATAAAAACCTTCAAATTTAATGAGTGTCTTTATTCCTAATTATCTGGTATAAAAGACAATATAATTATTCTAAATTTTAAGTGCTAAAATTCATTGGTCATAAAGGATGGTGGTCAACCTAGTACATGACGAGATATTTACCGACTAACAAGGCAATTTTAATAACTTTCTTTGATTCCTAATCTTCAGTCGAATTTTTGCATCAGTGAATTCCTAGGGTTTTAAAAAAAATGATATTACTAATAAATTAAATCTTAAAAAAAGTTAATGATATTTGTGCAGAATTATCAGAAAACAAAAAAGTAGCGGTCTTTCTACTCTCAACACTGAATGGAGGGAGATAAACTTGTCTGTCTCAATCAAGCTAACCCCCCTGAATTGCCAACAAAATGTTTCAAAATTAACAATAAATCCTTCAATAGTTAATGTTTATTTTTTTCAGTTTTCAAAGTAAGTCAGAAAAATTAAAATTGAAAAAGGAATTTTCGGAATGAAACATTTGCATAGAATAAGAGCCCTAAGCTGCTACTTCCTAACAATTTCATTGCCAGTTTTGATTGGCAAAAAACTTATTGTTTCATCTGGCATTTTCTTTAATGAATGTTTACATATTTTGCGGTAAAAGAATTAACTTTCTTTTTTTATTGACTTCTGGCATGAACATATCACTTTTTTTCATACTTGCTTTTACTCCTTTAAAACATAATTTTCATAATTCAATAACTGAAATTCAATAATATTAGTGATTCAACAACTCAAATTCATAAGTCAATGATTCAATAATATATATAATATTTATTTCAGTAACTCAAATTCAATAATATTAAATTCAATAATTACTTTATAATTGATATATCATGCTCCAAAGAAATTGTTTGTTTTCAGATCAAATTGATTGAATGAATTTAAAGCGATTTTGAGTTGATTAGTTAAATTTTTGTCTTGTACTTCTCTCTGTTTGTTTTTACAAGAATAATTTTGGAGAAGTTTCAAATACTCCAAACTGTAAAATATTTGCAAAAATTGATTACCAATTTTGAGTACCGAAGCAAACTTTAGTGCAGACAAATCAGAAACGAAACTCCGCCAAGTGAAGCAGTAAGTTTATAAAAAATTAAAACTACGCATAGCAAGAAAATATAACAACAAATGAGTCCACGTAAGGGCTTTGCTTTCAGGCACATTTTAATACAATTAACTTTTCTATCGCAAATTCTAACGTTTTTTGCACTCTAATTTGGATAATTTTTATCCAGTGAATGAAAAATGAGTCTTCGAAACTGTGAACAGCATGAAAAGTAAGTATAAGTTTAATGAGTCTGAATGAGTGCTTTAAAATCAATTAAAAAAAAATTCTCCTCCAAATTACACTTTATTTTATTCTGTGCATGAAAATGCAAAAGATTTGTTTAGATTGAGTTAATTTTTAAAGAAAAACTAACAAACAAATATTCCATTCTTTTAGAATTAAATTTGATAAAAAATTTCACTCAGAACGAATAAAATATTTATTTTCCAAATAGCAATATGAAAATGAAAGAAAACTTTTGAATGCTTCCATTAAAGAGCCTTTGAAAAGCGTTGCTGATTATTATTAATAATAAAGTGTAATTTGGAGGAGAATTTTGAATTTCCTTCACTTTACTTATCTTCACAAAATAATGACATTTCAATGAAAACAATCTTATTTCTCTTTTCGTTTCTGAGCAGTGTACAATTGAATATTCCATTCTTTTAGAGTCAAAATTTTCATTCAGAACGAATGAAATACCGAGTTGTAATACTTGGCAAAATTGTGTGCAATTGAATTGAAAGAGATCAAAAACATAAATAACCATTAGAATGAATAGATTTTAAAAAAATAAATAATTTAGTTTTGCGTCATTAAGCAAAAGGCATGAAATTGAAAAATGTGAACACAATTACGAATAAAAAGTATTTCTGAAGCCTACTTTTCCAAGAAAGAATCTTTACGCAATTAGTAAAAACTTATGCGAACAAAAACTATTCATCCATCAGAAACATTGTTTTTGAACAAATCAACATAAAAACTATACTCGTCCATTTTTATAAATGCATGCATTAGTGTTTCTTTTCTGGATAGATTACGAACTTATATTTCGGTAAAGAATCACAAAAATGAGATGAAGGAAACTTTCGGTAAATGACAAATTGCAAAGAATAAATTTTAGATTATTTTCTGAAACGATGAAAAGGGTTAAAACTGTCAAAAGACAAGTGAAATTTTTTCAAGGGAAAGCACTTCTTTTGCAAACTTAATTAGATCCAAATGTGACCGAATTGCATATTCAATTCCCTGGCTGGAAGCATATAAAAAACATAATTACAAGGATAAGAAACATTAAGCAGTACTTATATCAACAGCTTAAATTCAAAATTATTTTCAACAAAAACAATGAGCATACAATAACCTTCAAGATTTTTCCGTTAAAAGCACTAAGTAATCTTTTTGCTTGGAGAAATTTTTTTGTCGCATCTCTTGAAATGCGCAGAAGTTTGTTTCCTGTTTACATCTGTCAACCAATTCATCACAACTGCAATTCAGCTCATGTTTTCCAGAAAGAGCTAACCATTCATTATACATTTTGAATTAATCTTTTTAGCGAAAATGTCAGACATTTTAATAAAATTATGCATTTGTGAAGAAACAAAAAATTATTATTATTTGCGATTTTCAGAACAAAAATGAACTAGTAAAATGAGTTATTGGATATTTCCAGCAATTAAATTAAGTTAAAAAATTTTATCATACCTAATTTTTCTTGCTTACATTTCATTGGTCCAGAACGAATCTAACTTTAATTTCTAGTAAGTTTACGAGTTCTTTTGTTTGCAACAGAAAATAAGAAGTTGAAAAAGGATTTAAAATTTAACAAAATTCATATATGAAAAAAAAATTGCAAAAAAGCGGAAATTGCAACAAAAACGATATTTGCGGAAAAAATGATTTATAAAAAAACATTTTGACCGCGCAATTTTATTTTGCACGCACTTTAAAACTGGGTCTAATAATTGCATTATTTTTTCAATTTTTTAACGCCATTTCTCCGAACCAAACTTTATTTGCAAACAATTATTTTAAATGACGATTAATCATTAGAAGATAAAGAGCTATATGACATTGTACTACACTATATTGCATATTGCATTGTATTGTGTTATATTATATGAATATTATATATATATAAACAATGCGCAGCAGGTCAGAGGTTAATCTTCTTTTCTGTTTTCTTGATTCTCGCGTTTGATCGTGTTCCGGCACTCTCGCCGCACCGGCAACTTGTTCTACTGGTTCCAGTACACTGGTCGAGTGAGTTCCCATGACCTCCATGAAGCTTTCGTCAACAACCTCACCTGTTTTCTACTTGTTCTCATCTATGATTCCAGCATCGGTTTTTTCTCTTTATCCTCCGTTTCCTGCTTCCTGCTTTTTGATGCGATTAGCTAGCAACTCAACTGCTGGGCAATTCTGCAGAGCTGAGTTATATATATAAATATAAAGAGATAGATAGATTATTATAATATATATATTATATTATATTATATTATATTATATTATATTATATTATATT